TGCCAGCCCACTGGCTGGGTCCGAGGCGGCGGCGGCGGCGTTGCAGAGCGTCTCCTGCGCATGCGCAGGAGACGCTCTTGCACTTTCGGGGGGATCTAAACATCCCCCCGAAATTTTTTAAAACCTTTTGGTATTTTTGTGCACACGTGGGGACTGGCCCACGTGTGCACAAACCTCCCCCGGTCCCCCAGCTGCCCCCTCTGTACTGATTTAAGTATCCGCACGGAGGGGGCAAGTTGGCTATTAGATATATAGATTTGTTACCTGAATGACTTTTGGGAAAAGGTCCCACCAGATCTGCATGAACCAGGGCTAAAGGTTTCTCTGACACCCTTTGACTTTTCTTTGCCACTGGAAAAGCCTTTGATTTTGTCATTTTACAGATTTCACATTCAAGATAGTTTTTACACTCCTTTACATTTCCCTGACCTGTTAGGGCAAGGGTTTTTTGAATGGTATGAAAACTTACATGACCCAGCCTTCTATGCAGCAAGTGCTGACGATTATTGTGTGGGTTGATATTAGTAACAGCCTGTGCCTTAGCATCGTTATCTAATACATATACATTGTTTTGCAGCTTCCCAACTGCACATACCATTTTAGCTTTCATAATTCTGCACTCATTGTTAGTAAATAACACATCAAACTTTGCAGCATTAAGACATAAGCTCAAAAGATTGTTCTCAAGAGCAGGAACACACAGGACCCCTTTAAAGGTATAGTTCAAAAATGGGAAATACATATCACCCTGGCAAGTGACCTTTGATGGCGTTCCGTCTGCTAAACAGACATGGTTTAATTTAGAGTCCCTCTTATTCAGTAGCAGCCCCTCATCCCGACAGAAAACCTGTGAGGCGCCTGAATCGATTAGCCATGATGTATCAGTGGTCTCAGCAGTGACAACCACTGAAGCTGAATGTTCCATTGCCGTCTGTCCCTTCTTCTTGCGTTTCTGCTTTTCAGGACAGGTAGACAAAAGGTGTTTTGTTGACCCACAACAGTAACATTTTTTAACTTTTAAGGCAAATGACGTTTGTGGAGAAAAATCCTCCAGCTGCTCCTTGGCAGTCGTCCCAGTCTCTTTGGCGTTACGCCCAGAACTTCTGGAGCTCTGCCTGGACTCTTTGGCTGTACGCCCAGACTCTTTATCAAGCAGCCTGGACTCAGCCTGGCGTTCTGCCTCCAATTGAATTCTCCCAAGCACATACTGCAGGCTCAGAGTTTTTGCATCAACACATTCAAATGCAGTTATTAACATATTAAAGTCCCGTGACAAAGAACTTAAAATGATGAAAATTTTATCTTCTTCAGCGAAGGTTTTGCCCCACTCCTGCAACTGCAGGAACAGATCTGTTAAGGCTTTCAAGTGCTGTTTCACT